GCAGTGGGCGCTGCAGGGCACGGCGTGGGGAGGCCCGGAGAGGCGGGAGACAGAAGGGGCGCGGTGACGTCAGAAACGCAGGCCTTAGCTGGGAGGGTCCTGGGGGGGCTGCAGCGGGAGCCTGGGAGAGGGGAGGGGCTGCCCTGAAGCGCTGCCCGCAGTCGGGGACAAGGCGGCCCCACAGCTCTGCAGCACCTGCCGGGCGCAGCGTGCGGGGCTCCTGAGCCCGACCCGCTGGCCGAGACCCTCGTCAAGGTCCATCACCTTGTGGCCTTGGTTTTGCCATCTGGAACGTGGGCATCACAGCTCCGCCCTCCATGGACCGCGTGGGGATTGCATGGGAACATGCACCTGGCGCATACTAAGTGCTCGATTGAAACAACCTGTTATTATTATGCTCTTATCGTTCTTCAGGAGCTTGAGAGCAACCAGGTGCCACAGGCAGGAGAGCAGAGCTCGGGTCCTCCCAGGGACACCCACACCCTCCGTCCGAGCCTGGGAAGCCCCAGGTCCGCTCAGAGCCTCTGCGGCTGGTTGTGGGGTTGAGACACCACCTGCATGAAGGTGGGGACCGGGCGACATGGGAGGCAGCGTGGAGCCCCAGGCAGGGGAGAGATGGGTGGAGGGGGCCCATGGGGGTGCACAGGGATCGCACCCCGCGCCTGGGGGCTGCAGTGCTAGGGGAGGGCACAGGCTTTGGAGCCGCAGAGCTGGGCCTGAATCCCTCTCTCATCAGCCAAGTGACTTGGGCTCCGAACCTCAGCTTTCTCATCTGTCCAATGGCCTGGCTCGCGGCAGCCCCTCGGCCCAGGCCCAGCATGGAGCTGGTGCTCAGGATGTCAGAGCTGATGCGATGTCCCAGGAAGGGGCAGAGACACCGCTCCCGGGGAGCCCAGCGGGGCTGGCAGGAGTGGGAGACAATGGGCCCTTGTGCCAACGGACAGGGACCCCGCCGAGGCTGGGGGCTGGAGAAAGGGTGGGGGTCCTCTCCCCGGCCACCCCGGGGGGAATGACTTCTCTGAGCCTCACCTTCAACCACTGACAGTGCGGACTCTGATTTCCGCCTCTCCCAGCTCTGAGGGCACGCCAGACACAGAGAGGGAGGTCACAGTGCTGACCGCGGGGCGCACGGTACCGAAACTGTCACGGCACCTCCGTGCCGTCGGGCCCCGGCTGCTGGCCTGGGAGAGGTGGGGACCGGCCGCCGAGAGACGGGGTACAGGCGGGACGTATCATGCTCCTCCCCCCCGAGGTGGAGACCGTGTCCCCTCCCCTGAAGATGGACAGACTCTGGTTGCCTCGAGCGATAGAGTGAGACGCAAGTGACCGGGGTGACAGTCATGGAGGGCCACGCGGCTGCCACGGGCTGACTGGGCTCTCTCAGTGCTCTGAGGACGTGGCCCCCACGCTACGCGGGAGCCCGAGCCAGACGAAGAGGCCGCGGCAGGCGTTCGGGGGACAGCCCTGCAGAGAGCACAGCTGACCGCTAAGTCACAGCCCAGGCTGAGCACGGAGGCCCGGAGGTGACTCCGGCCATTGTCAGTGCCACCTCGGGAGAGACGTGGGGGAGAAGCGCCGGGCCGCGAGGGCGAGACCGCAGTAACAGGGCACCGTGTCAGCTGCAGAGGGTGGTGCCCCGTGTCCCCAGGCCCCCCTTTAAGCTCGGGCCGTGCCCTCGTCAGCCGGAGGGGACAGCGCCACCGTCCGCCTGGGCCTGGGTCCTGCGCCCTTAGCTGGCCAGAGGCGGCCAGGGGGGACCCGCAGGAGGGTGGGGAGGGGGGTTTTCAGGGCGGGCGTTACCTAGAGTCTGCGAGTCGAGATCATCATCTATAAACTCCTCACCCTGGATGACGCTCTGGACGCCCTGGCCGTGGCTCACGGGGCTCGTCATTTCCTGCTCCTTCTCATTGTGCATCTGGGCATACACGGTCCTCCCGGGGCGTTTCCTGCGGGGCAGAGGAGGGGCTCAGGGGGCTGTCCCACCTGAGCCGCTGGGCCCCAGACCACTCCTGGGCATGGTGCAGACAACGCTCCTGGATCTCTTCTCCTGCCCCTTCTCTGCTCCAGACCACCTCCTCCAGGAAGCCCTCCCTCCTGTGAGCTCCCACAGCCCTGGGTTTCCCTGGGCCCCAGTGCATGGGTGTGCCTTGTCTGGTTCCCCCGGGGACTGGACTGAGGCTGAATTGCAGGGAGGGGGTGTTTTACTGTCTTTAGTCCCCCGTCATCTGGTTTGTGGGAGAGCAGCGTCCTGGGCACTGACAGGGTGGGTGGGACATGCATTCCCATGGCACACGGGATGCCCACCCGGCTCTGAGAGGGGCTTGCTGAGCCCTGTCCGGGTCCTGGGGCTGTGCGGTCCCAATTTCCTGTCCCTCCACGGCCAGAGGGAGAGGAGACCACGGGCACAGCCCCCATGCCTGCGCTGGGACTGGGCACGGGGTCCCCAGGCCAGGCTCCTCCACGTCCGATGCCTAGTTAGTCTGAGACCCTGAAAGTGCCCACGGTCCCCGAGAAGGAGCAGGCTCCCTCCGACACTGCTTGCCAGGCCTGACCAGTCCTGCAGGAGTGCAGGGCGCAGACCGCTGAGGGCGACTGAAGGGGACACATTACCTCCGGCTGGAACCCTTACCGGATGACTCATTCCCCCAGAACTCATTTCCCTCTGCTGTGGCTGCCATACCCCGAAAAGGCCCTGACCCTGAGGGAGGACGAGAGGCTAGCCCCTGCAGGGGACAGCACGAGCAAGAAGTCACCCTTGGGGCTCTTTGTTACAGCAGCCGAGCCACCGCCAGAAACCGAGCCCGCTCCCTGGACCCCCACAGGCCACGTCCGACCCCAGAGCCTCGGGACCAGCGGGGCATTTCCCTACGACCTGGCACCTATCTGCTGTGCTCGCCTTCCCTGTGTGATCGGCGCTCTGGGGGTGCACACTCGCCCCCGGAACCGGGCTGCACTGTTTCCATGGCGACCCATCCCCCCCAGGGAGCACGATCAGTTCGCTAACAACACTCAGCGTGCCAGGCGGCGGACCAGCACGTGCACCCTCACCCCTTCCGGGGCACCTTCTGGGCCCACTCAGCGTCCTCCCTGTCCTCCTCCTCTCTCTCCCCTCCCCCTCCTCCCTCTTCTCCTCTCCACCTCCTCTTCCCCTCCTCCTCCCTCTCCTTCTGTTCTTTCCCTCCTTCCCTTTTCCCACCCCCTCCTTAGTCCCCTTTTACAGATGAGGAAGCTGAGGCCTGGGGAGGGGACGCCGCGGAGCTGCTCAGCGGCAGTGCAGGAGTCTGGATGGGGCCTTGCGCTCAGGGTGAAGGGTGCTCCAGGGCAGAGACCCGGACGGGGCAGATACGGCTGGAAGGCTCCCCCTTTTGCTTAATCTCTGCAAATACACAGGATGCTAGGCTTCCACACACACTTGCACAGTAGGGGGAGGCCTGGCCGGATGCTGGCCTTTAACGCCCTGGGGAGAACCAGCGCGCCCATTCCACAGAGCGGGAAACTGAGGCCGTAACACAAGTCCCACCTGGCAAGGCCACACCCCTGTGGCCTCTGAGGGAACCTGAGTGTTGACACAGGCTGGAGCAGTAAGAAGGGAGTGGGGTGGGGATCAGGGGCGCCCCTTCACTGGGGGGGTGGGGGGCTGCCCTGCGTGTGGGGATCAGCCGGATACCCATGCGGATGGCGGGGCTGCGGCCGGCACCACGCACATCGGGGGCAGGAGGAGACGGCAGAGCCTTGAGGCTGAGAGCAGACTCTTCAAATGGAGATCACGGGGACCCCTGCCTCAGTCAGAATCAAGTGGTCCGCAGCTCTCCACCTGGCCCATGCAAAGGTGATCCAGAGAGGCCATGGAGGCAGAGGGGGCGTGCACCTGCCTCTCGAAGGGCCAGGGGCATCTTTCATCCATCTGAAGACGGCCGCTCAGGGGGGCCCGGAAGGCGCTTGGCCAGCAAGGGAGCCCCTCTGCCCCAGCCCGGAGTGAGCTGCAGAGTGGGCACCTGCAGTTACAGTCCTGGGGCTCGGTCCCTACTGGCTTGAGCCGGACGCTGTTTTGGGGTCGGGAGGGGCCCCGGCTTCAGCACCAGGAATCCTGGTCTCAGATGTCACTTCCTAGCTGTGACAAATACTGCTTTCAGAGGGGCCGCCCTCCAAGGCGGGGTGGACTTGAGGGAGATAAAGCTGGGAATGCCCGCAGAGAGGAAGGTGGGGTTGGAAGATGCTCGGGGGTTCGTGAGCCGCTGTTTCCCACCCGCCCTCCTGGGGCTGGGGCCATTCAGAACCCAGAGCGGGCCTACACAAGTGCCCATCCCCTGCAGCCGCTGCCCAAGGCCTGGCTCGCGCCCAGCCAGCCAGGTGGCCTTGCCTTTTGAACTTGTAGAGGATGAACGCGCCCACCGCGAAGAGTCCGATGACCAAGAGGACCGCCACTGCCCAGTAGCCTCCGGTGCCTCCCAGCCTCTGCGAGTCTGCAAGCAAAGCAGCCGGTGGTCGGGGGGGTGGGCACCCGTGCCCTCCCCGGTCTCCCGGGACAGGAAGATGGTCTGGCAGGTCCTCCGGATGTGGCTGAGCGGCGTGGGCAGGTCTCGGGGAACCCCGGCCCCTGGGCCCCCTGGACTCCCACTGTGTACCCGTGGGGCCCCGGGCCTTCCTTCTGGAAGCGGACAGAACCCCTCTGGGCACACTTCTGCTGGCGTGCGGCAAGCCTGCCACGTTTCCCGATGGGCACCATGTCTCTCCAGAGCAGAGGGAAGCTCCTCAGCTTCTGCAAACATGCTTGCCCAAAATGGGAAAGGTCACACTGCGACTGGTGGGGGCGGGGGGCCGAGGTCACCCGAGACCCTAAATGTCCATGTAAATCAAAGCCAGTGCTCGGTGCTGCATTTGTGTAGAGAGCGAGGCCCTTGGACCTGACCCGGTCGTAACCGGAGGCGACCACCTAGGCAGGAGGAGCCCTCGGCCCCCAGTCCCCGAAGTAACAGGGGCCGGGATGCACGTCCACCCCACCCTGCAGGGGCAAGCCCGGGCCAGGCCGGGGGAAGCGCCTGGCCCCTCACCTGTGTCCGTGTCCCTCATGGCCACCAGGACCTGGACCCCGCCCCGCAGAAGGAAGCTGATCTTCTGTGCCTTCAGCACCTGCTGGATGGCCGTGAGTCTCTGAAAGCAGGAGGGGGAGAGTGAAGAGGGTCTTCTGGGACCCACCGGAGGGAGTGGGGAGCTGGGCAGATGTCCGCTCTGACTCTCCAGAGCCAAGGGGTTCGGGGGGGCACTCAGCCTCCTTGGGTCTCAGTCTCCTCACCTGTAACATGGAAATACTCACCCAGCAGCCAGCTTTCACCAAGAGCCTACAATGGGGCACAAAGGTGACCCAGCCGGGACCTAAGAGCTCTCATTTTGGTCGGGACCAGAGTGTGGTAAAGCTGGGGAACCCAGGGGTGCTCCAGGAGGCCCTCAGGCCTGGCAGTGGTCAGGGAAGTCTTCTCAGAGGAGGAAGACCAAGAAGAGAACGAGATGGGGACAGGACAGGTGACCCAGGCAAGGAAGTGACCCCACACGAGGGAGAGCCATCCCAGGAGGTGATGTGGAGGCAGCAGGGGTGGGAGATGGGGCTGGCTTGCCGTTTCACGAGGGGGAGTCTTCCTGGTGCTCAGAAGGGAACCAATGGCCCTTGTGGGTGCTCAGAGATCATTCCTCCAACAGGTGGGTGTAGAGGTATTGGGGAAGGGGACCTCCCAAGGGACAGCAGTCCCCAGCACCCCCCTCCCAGGTGCCTTGGGGGGCCAAACTCAGTCTCCACGCACAGTGTTTTAGCACCTGGTGTTCCCTGGGAAAGAGGAGTCCCCATCAGGGACCATGACAACGACAAGCCAAAACAGCCCCGGATTTGAAGGCACGTGGCTCTGCACCGCCGGAGACCCCAGCACCTCTCTGTTTCGAGGGTCGATGCGAGGCTTCAAAGGAACACCTCGTGGGATGCCTCCAGCCCCGTGCCCAGCGCCCAGCAAGGGCCAGGGGCCTGCCGCGCCGGCCGTGGCCAGGACGAGTCCCTGTGATTTTTCACCGACCTCGGCCCGCGGCTTACTCTCAGCACTCAGGACAACGGGGGTGGGGGTGCCCCTCTGTCCCTCCACCGCCTCCTTCCAAATCTCTCCTAAGCGCCCACACCTGACTACTGCAGAATTAGCTCATCTGCTCGCCAACTCGGGGGGCAAGAGTGAGGGAGGCCCCCGAGCGCCGCCGTGCCTTCCCCAAGCTGCCGAGCCTCTACGGTCAGCTCCCCGTCTGAAAAATGGGTATAGTCCCTCTCCAGCCTCTGCAGTCCCACCTCCAGAGACCCCGCAAGGCAGGGCCCGGGGGCTTGGCAGGCCTGGGCGCCCCCAGGTGCGGATGCAGATGCCCTTTGGGAAATGCTGGGGTCAGGCCCACACAGTTACGTGTCTACTAGGAGGCAGCCTGGGCATGGTGGGCCTGCAGCCAGAGCGACCGTGGGGCTCCGTGTCCCCTCTGTCCTTCCTGACGTGCCCCCCACCGAGCCTCACTTCCCTCGCCTGTAGAAGGAGACGCGACCGCCCATCCTCAGGGGTGCCGCGGGCCTTGCTGCCCTTGCCCAGTGCTGGTCCGTCTTCCAGACGGCCTCCGTGAGCATCCGTCTCACGACTAGTCCGGGGGTAGCTGAGCTTCTGACTCATATTTTTTTTTTGAGATAACATGTACGTTCTTCAAGCACACAATTCCACAGTTTTTGGTATATTGGCAGCTGCGTGACTATCGGCACGATCTGCTTCCAGAACATTTTCATCCTTCCTTCCGGAAGCCAGGTGCCCGCCCCTCCCGCCCCTGGCAACCACCTCCGCCTTCTGCCTCCGTGCACCGGCCTGTTGTGGACAATTCCATCAACGCGGTCGTGCAGCAGGTGGCCTCCGGGACCGGCTTCCCTCCCTCGGCATCCCGTTCGCGGGCTTCGTCCAAATGGTAGCAGGTGTCCGAGCTCCCTTGCTTTTTACGGCTGAGTAAGGTTCGGTGGTGCGCGGGGACGCATCTTGTTCACCCACCCCGTTGAGGCACGTGTGGCCACTCGGGGCCGCTGTGACCCTCCCTGCGCGCGTGCGCATGGATGAACAGCTGCGGTGCTCCTGGGTCCGCGCCCCAGGGGGCGGAGCGGCCGCGTCATCTGCTAACTCAGCCTACCCTTTCGGGGAGCAGCCGGCGGCGGGGCTCAGCAGCGCAGGAGGGGTCCCGATTCTGCATGCGACCCAGCTTGCTGTCTACTTTGGGAACAGTGACAGCTACCCTGGGGGCGTGAAGCAGCTCTGACTTATCTTTGGGTCCCCATCCCATGCCCGCCACACAGCGGGTCCTCCGCCCCTCCAGATGAGGGCTATTATTTGGAAGCTGGGCTACGCAGTGAAGACATTTGCTGCCTACATGGGGGCTGAGTCCTGAGACCCACGCCTTGGGAGTCCATGGCCCTCACAGTCAGCTTGGGCCGGGGTGACCAGCGCCAGCCAGCAGAATGGGAAAGGAGGTGACGCACGTCCCCCTGTGGGGTGGTCTGGCCCCGGTGCCTTGTGCCTCCCCAATCCCCAAAACAGTGACCTTGGAGGCCACCCGGGTCCTAGGGGGGCAGCCAGCCACCTATGTTGGGCAGTGATTGGCGAGAAATGGGCCTTTCCGTGGCCACTGAGACTTCCGTGCTGGTTGTAGGTCCCCCCCAAGCCCCCGGCACTAGGCCGCGAAGCCCAGGCGGTGCAGAGAGAACCTGGGTCCTGCGGATGCAGGAGATACCTTGTCACTGGGGAGGCTCCTCTTCCTTGTGGGCCTGGGAGGGGGCAGGAGCACGTGCAGGTCGGCCAAGGTGGGCAGTCCCGGCTTTACAACGGTCACCAGCAGCTCCTCAGGGACACTGGTCTCCTGTGGGGACACAGACGAGCCACTCTGACCCACCTGCCTCCTCTGTCCCCTGCTGCACTCCGGGGCCCCCAGGATCACCCTCTCTCCACTCTTGGCCTGTCCAAGTCCTGGCCGTCTGTCCTGCGAGCTATTCCTGACCCCTGCACACACGGGGATGGCCCCAGGACCCTGTGACCACATTCCACCTCCTGCAGCCCTCCTGGTCCCTCTGCCCTTCACCCCCGACACCAGCCTCCCCTGGGCCAGGCCTGCCCCCTCTAGTCCACTCCTCACACCGTGGCCAGGGTAACTGAGCAGGCCCCTCTCTGGCTAGTGTCCTTCCAGATGTCAGGGCTCCTGATCATACAACTCCTTCAACCCATAAAGCTCAGCTTCTGCAGGTCCCTCTGCCTCCTGAGAACCCCACTCCGTGCACTTTCACCTGGCAAACTCCTATTCAGGACAGTATCACCAGCATTATTAATGGACTGAGGGGAGTCACGGCCAGAGCGGGCCTCAGCCGGTGGCAGCCATGGATGACTGTAGGGGCCGGTGTTCCTGCCCACCCCGAGGCCTCTGTCTGCTCTCGGTGAGCTCCCCGGGGGCAAACACTGATTCCTCTCTCTGTCTCCAGTGTCCGGCCCAGAAGAGAAACTCCGTGAATAAATGAAAATCCCATTCAGGAGATTCTGGGCCAGCAGAGGACAGTGACTGTGTCCTGGGCAAACAGCTGGGGCTCACTCAATGCGCACGGAGGAGGCCGGCCTGTCCCTCCCCTGCAAGGTGGCGCTCCAGCCACAAGTCCCCTAGAGCCAGGGCAGCGGGCCCTAGCCGTCCTCCAACCCCCTGGGCAGCCAGCCTGAGGCTGGGTCACTGACTGAGGGCAGCACCCCTCGCCCCGCCAGGGGGTCCAGGCTCCCCCACCCCCTGCTTCTCCGGGGCGCCTGCAGGTGCTGGGCGGCACCTTAGAGAGCAGCCGGGTCACCACCAGGCCGACGTCCTCTCTCCACTCAGGGGTATTGGGATTGTGCGCGTCCAGGTCCTTGGAAAACTGCAGAGGCACCACCTGGAATTGGTCTGAAGAGAGGCAGAGACGGGCGAGCGGGTCAGTCCTGGGCAGTGGGGCTCTGCCCGCCGCAGGAGGCCACCCGTCCTGGATGGCCCAGGACTGCCCACAGTCAGACCCCGTGGCCCGCTTTTGGAAAACGAGAGTCCTCCCTGTGACGGCAGCTGCTTGCTCCGGGCAGGGCCCACCTCACCGACCGGCACCAAGTAGTGATCACTGACCCACTGATGACAACAATGAACGGTGCCCACTGGGGAGGGAGGGCCTGGCCCGCACACTGTAAGATCTGCCCTCTCACTCTCAAGGACGTGCACGCCCCATGAGGCTGGGTTTCCATCCCCCAGGGATCCATGGACTTCACTGGGCTGGTCCCCCCACCAGAGTAAGAGTCCCGCGAGGGCAGAGGCCGCACCTTCCCTTTCCCGCACGTGTCCCGGGGTCCCCAGCTCGGAGGCCCACTCCAGAGCCACCTGCCAGTGCTGGTAGGCCCTGCACCCGCAGCCTCGGGGCTCACTGTACTCTCTCCATGTTCCTCCCGAGCCCCGGGTTTCTCACTTGGGAAATGGGAGGAGGCTTTGCAGGGATGAGCGGCCCGAGGGACACATGCTTTGTGAACAGAGAACTCAGCATCTCACAGCGGGGTAGGGGTGACTATTTCCGAGCTCTGAGCTCAGGACTCTGAGCGCACGTGTTTGTGAACACAGGAACAGCCAAGGGCAGGCCGGCTAAATATTTAACTGATGGCTGTGGTCCACGGGAGAGGCTGTTCTCAAAGCCTGAAGGAGGTTTCACTGGTGTGACGAGGCCAACAGCACACAGGCTGGGGGACGGGGTCTCTTCCAGGCTTAGGATGAATCTCCTATGGTAAATGTCTCCCGCGAGGGCCTTGGGGCCCCCAGTGAGCACCAGTAAATGGGGTGCGGATTCAGAACTGAGTCTCAACAAAGGCTGTGTTACAGGGCTCAGAGGACAGATGGCAGGAGAGGTCAGGGTCCTGGGAGGCATCGCCGGGTGACCGCGACACATCACTCAGCTGCGCCCCCGTCTGTGCTGTGTGAGGCCCGTGAGTGCCAGCCACGGACACAGAGACGTGTCCGTGTTCCTTTTACAGACGGGGAAACTGAGGCCGAGGAGCCGGGGAGCGTCCAGGCTGTGTTCACGGGCTCCTCTCTCTAGCCTGCGGCTGCCCAGCATAACCAGGTGTCTGCGGCTTACAGTGCCCCCGTCACCCAAACCCGGGGCTCCTGCGAAGGATGAGACGCGCTGCCCGACCCGGGCACGGGGACTCACCCAGCACACGGACCACCTTGGAGTCCTGCAGCACTGAGCTTCCACAGGCCGCCTGCACCGTCACACGCGCGTCCCCTGTGTCTGCAAACCGCGTGGTCACGGAGTTCTCCAAGGAGAGCAAGGGCTGCAGGGGACACGAGTGGGGGTCAGGGCCGGGGGTGGCGGGCAGCCCCACATGGGACAGTCGGACCCATGGTCCCTCCTGCTGCCCAGGGCCTCACTGAGAACGCTCACTCTCCTCTGCTCTGGTCAGGACATGGGGGCAGCACCGGGGGGCACGGGGAGGACCCTCCCACCCCCAGAGCCACTGGCTCTAAGCCAGTGTAGCCTGGACCAAGTGTCCCGGTGTCCCCTTCGTCCTGGACCTGCCTGGATTGCTGGGCTGGAAGAAGCTGAGTTGTGATTTGAACCCAGAGCCTAGCACCTTCCTCAACCCTCCGCATTCCAGAGAAACACAACCTAGGGCCTCTGCGTCTGGGCCTTCAGCCGCTGTTGGGGTCTTTCTGCTTGGGGCGCAGGGCTGCAACCCACTGAATGAGGGAAGGATGGCCCTCTGTGGGTCTTGAGGGCCTGCAGGCTAAGGATGGGCATCCCTGCCCACAGAGACCCTCCAGCCCTGCTACCAGCCATCATCTGTGGCTCCCCGCTGCTTACAGGGTACAACCCAGGGCTCTGGGTGAGGCTTCTGACATCAGGTCCAGCCCCAGTGGCCCCCTCCTCCATGAAGCCTTCCCTGACCACACCCAACACCCAGACTAGAAATGTCCTGATCTTCCCTGGAGCTCACAACACCTCACCCATCCCCTTCCTGTGACGCTTATCACAACTCGGGTCACCTGCTTTGTTCACATCTCTTTCCCCAGGAAAAGGCCAGGTCTGGTCTGCTTCCTTCTGCGTCTGCCAGGCTCAGAGCCGGACCCGAGCAGCGAGGGCTCCGGAAGAAAGGCTGGTGTGTGCTCGCCCCCACTCCACGCTGTCATACCCTGTGCCCTTCCGCCCAGTCCCCGGGGCAGGGCCCTGCCCCCCACTCTCAGCCAGGGCTGCACCGTGGGTCCCGGGCCTGCGCACCTGCAGGTTGTGGCCGATCCACCAGTAGAAGACGGTGAGGTTAGGGTTCAGGGGCAGCAGCATGGCTGTGAGGTTCACCTCCTGGTTGACGCCGACCACGGGAACCACTTCAAGGTGGAGGGCCTGGAGGGGGGCTGCGGGTCGCGGGAAAGGCCGGGGTTGGGGGACACCAGGGCCCTGGCTATTTCAGAGGGGGCTTCTTGGACACCTTCATCACTTCCCCCCGCATCACCCCCCAGCCTACCACCGCACACACTGCCAGGGCGTGGACTTGAGCCCGCCTGCCTGCTCCCCACCTGCGGGCTCGCCAGCCTGGGTTCCTTTCGCTGCCCCAGGGGACTCCCTGCATTCCCCCAAGGACCAGGTTCTCTCTGCCCCAGGGGCGGACTCTGGGCCTCAAAGGGGCGACGGACTTACAGTTGACCTGGACAAAGAGCACGGCCTCGTCGTGCCCAGCCACGTTCTCCGCCCTGACGGACACACGGTAGACACCAGGGCTCTCGTAGCGGTGCCGGATGGGCTCCTCGCTCAGCGTGAGGTTCATGTACACGGCCTTGAAGCCGTCCCCCAGGTCCACTTGGTACTTGGTGGTCAGGACATCTCCCTGCAGGAAATCCCACGAGGCCACTTAGGGGGGATGGCAAAGCGGAGGGGCCTGCGGTGGCTCGCGTGCTCTTCATCCCCTCACTCCTTCCCTCAAAGGGCGCGGGCCCCAGGCCCCCAGGAACCAAACCCGCCCTGCCGTTGGGGCGGCCAGCCTGGCGTGCGGGGCTGCAGAGGGCAGATGGGCCTGGGAGCCACAGAGACACAGGAGGATGGGGGCAGGGCCCAGGGCCAGGTGTGCCCGGCTGCAGAGGGAGCGCTCAGGGTGGCGGGCCAGCCGGTGGGGACAGCCACTAAGGCCTGAGCCCGGAGCCGGAGGGAGGGAGGCCCCCCGCACAGGCTGCAGGGTGTCAGGAACATGGCCAGGAAGATCACACATGGGAAGACTCCTAAGGGGTTTCCCTGAAAATTGGGAAAACATCGTTTTCCCTTCTTGGTTGCTTCCTGAGTGTTTCTTTGATCCCATTCTCTGCGGAGCTGGGGTGCCGGTCAGACATGCAGGGTCTATGCAGCGTGATGCTCCCTGCACCTGCTGCCCCTTCCCCGGGTTTGAGCAGCACGGGGCTGTCTGACGGCCTCACGCCCCTCCAGCTGGGGAGCCAGCCCCCCCACAAACCACCATTTCCTCACTGAGGCGCGGGAAATCGAGGGAAGGAAACGGGAAACAGTATCTTTCTCCACTTCACAGCAAGAAAGTGTTTTCGAGCTCCCCCTCTCCCCTCTGCCCTGCCCCATCACCCCTTCCTACCGCCCTGTCCCTGCAGGAACGCCCCGAAAACCACTTCCTGCTGACCCAGAATGACACAGGATTCGCACTGACCATTTATGATCCTCTCATTCTATGCCTGCAGAGAAAACTTGACAAAGCCCTTTCCCATAAATTATGTTCACTTAACTTTCTCCACAGATATGGTGGATGGTTGAACAGTGTCTGTACCCCCAAATCCACATGCCCCCAGAACTCAGAATGTGGCCTTATTTGGAAATAGGGTCTTTGCAGAAGCGATTAGTTAAGATGAGGTCAGGCCGGAGTAGGATGGGCTCCCAGCCAGTGGCCATGTCTTTATAAGGAGAGGCAGGGGCTTGGGACACAGAAGAGACGGCCACGTGGCGACAGGGCAGAGACCACACAGAGCCACAAGAAAAGGGACACCAGCGCCCCAGAAACTGACAAGACAGGGAAGACTCCCTCCCCAGAGCCTCCAGTGGGAGCCAGGCTCTGCCAACGCCTTAATTTCGGATTTCCAGCCTCCGAACCCGGGAGAGAACCACATGCTGTCTTGTGCCTAATAGCACGTGGTCCCTGGGACAACAGTTTGCGTGGCGTCCGATTGCCCCCACGTGCTGGGCTAGAACTGCAGGGCAGACTGGCTCACCGTCCAGGGCCCTGTGGACATGCGGCCTCATGGGGACCACGGGAGCGGGGTCTCAAGCCCACCTTGCTCTGGGGGGCAGGGGCTCTGTGCAAGATGGATGCACCTGGGAAGCCCGGTGGCTCCGAGGTGTGTGGGGGCACAACCGTGCGCCTCTGGACCCCGTGTTCCTGCCGGTGGGCCACTGACGGATACCCGTTGAACGATTTAACGTTATACTTGGTTAAAATAACTTGTCATTTTCCCCGTGATCAGAACATAGTCCAGCAACCACGCGACAGACAGCAAACACGCAGGCAAGGAGATCCATCCCCGTAACCCCACCCCCGCGCCCTGCTGCGTCTCGTGCCCGCTGTCAAGATGTGAACGACTTATTCTGAGACAACCGCCAGTTCCCATGTAGTTTGTAGGGACCAAGACAGATCCCGTGTGCCCCATACCACACGCTCGGAGCTAATGCCTGCCGAAACCAGAATGTCACAGCTAGGACGTGGACACAGACGCAGCCGGGGTGCCAAGCCGCTGAGCCACCGCCCGCCCCGCCGTCACACCCCCGACTCATCTGTCCTCCATTTCTGCACTCATGTCGTCTCGAGAACATCCTATAAATGGAATCCGACAGCACAGAGTCGCTGGGGTTGCCTTTTTCTCATTCAGTTTAACTCTCTGGAGACTCACCCGGGTGGTGGCGCGTAGCAGTCACCTGTCCTTCTCACTGCTGAGTCGTGTCCCACGCGGGGGCTGCACCACTGTTCGGGCAGACGCCCCTCGGAGGACGTCTGGGTGTTCCCAGCTCCCGGCCCTTCTGCCATAAAGCTGCCGTGAACGCTCGCGTGCAGGGTTCTGCGTGGACACAAGTCTTCATTTCTCTGAGACACACGCCCAGGAGCGCACGTGCTGAGTCACGGGGTGGTTCCGTGTTTAGTTTTTTAAGAAACTGCCCCACTGTTTTCCAGCTTGGTGGTCCCATCCTGGGCTCCCGCGTATGAGGGATCCGCGCATGGGGGGGTCCGGCTTCTCCGCATCCTCGCCAGCACTTGGTGGTGTCGCTGTGTCTTATTTGGGCCACTGCTGTAGGCTTGCAGTGACCTGTCACTGGGGTTGGATTCGCATTTCCCTAACGGCCAGTGAGGCTGAACGACTTTCGTGGGCTCGCCGGTCACCTGCCCGTCGTCTGCGGTGAACCGTCCCTCTGTGTCCTTGACCTGCTTCCTACACGGAGCGTTGTTTTCTTCCTGCTCTTTATGTGTTCTAGGTACCAGTGCTCACCGGATGCATGCTGGGTAAATATTACCTCCGTAGCTTGCTTTTCACCCTCTCTACGGGGGTCTTCCTCAGCACACAGGTGTCTGACTCAAAGTCCGACTTGCCAAATTTCCTCTACAGGTGATGCTTTCAGCGTCCACTCTATCAATGCTTGGCCTAGCCCTAGATCTGCATATTTTCTATCTCTTTCCCAAAGGACTGATAGTTTTCGGCTTTCCATTGACCTCTGTGGTCCATTCTGAGCTGATCTGGTATCAGGTGTGAGGTTCCAGCCGAGGCTCATTTTTACTGACAGTTCGTTTGCCGAGGACCGTCCTCCCTCCCCTGAGATGCTTTCGCTCCTGTGTCAAAATCAGCTGCACACTTCTATGTGGGTCTATTTCTGGGTTCTCTATCAGCTCTTATTTTTAAATCTCGGATGCTTACAGAACTTGGCCCCCGCCCCAGATCCAGCTAGTTCCGCACGCAGCTTGGCCTGTGCATGAGGGCGGGTGGGTGTGACTTGCGTGTCAGTGTGAGTGCTTACGAGTGTGTGAACACGTGGTGAGGGCGTGTCCGAATTTCTGTAGTCAGTGTGTGAGAATGTGAGTGTGTGTGAGCGTGCATGAGTGTGCGTCCACCCCCCACCCAAGCTCCCAAGCTCTCCCTGCCTCCATGAGGAAGCCAGCAGTCCTTCTGGGTAGGGGAGTGTGCCGGGAGACCTCTCTTGCGAGAGCATCTTTCGGTCACTCCAGCGACCCCGTGCAATCAAGGCTGGGGACCACTGGGGCGGTGGGGCTGACTGGCCTGTCCTGTCCTGGCTTCAGCTAGGGACTCAGCAGATGGACCATGTTGCCCAGATGGAAGCCTCTAGGGGGCAGCAGATGGCCATTTTTCCTGGAAGTCTGTGCTAGAACTTGGGCAGCAGGTGGGTCCACTCTGAGGGTCCAGGGGCCCCACCTGGGGAGGGGGCATCGTCCTCCCGCCACACCAAGCTGTGTCAGATGCCCAACCGCCGCCCCGGGGCCACCCCCGAGGCCCCGAGCATGAATGTCAGGACCAGGCTCATCAGCACAGGGGACCACAGACCAGGCAATGTCCATGCGGAGCTCTGTCACCTGTTACTGTGTGGCCTCGGGCGAGCCACTGCACCTCTCTGAGCCAGGGTTTCCCAGCTGGCACATGGGCGCTCACACATACAGCTCCGTGCCCTCTGGCCTCAGTCTCCCTGTCTGCATGACAGCAGACATCAAAAGACCTCTGTCATCATCGGGGCACCATATTTGGAAGGACGTGTGCTAAACAATGCACACACAGTTATAAAGCTGAACTCGCTTCATTCGGCATATTTGTTAACCAAAGATCCGAGCATCCAACAGAGCCCCGTGCACAGACGGCCGGTGGTCCCGGGGCGGGTCTCCCTCCGGTGGGAGCTGGCTTCTCCTCTGTGCCATTCCTTCGCTTTGAATTTCCTGCATGTCAGTAAGATTTTCTGATTTCTGGTTTTGGATGCTCTATAGGGAGTTTGCTATTTCTATAATCAGAAAAATAAGCATGCTGTATATTAATTTTAAAAGACTAGAAGAAAATACAAAACTTCGCAGTTGTTACCTTGGGGCGGAACAGGGTTTTTGGTGATATTTATATTCTTGACATTTTAGGTGTTTTTCAAATGTTATACCATGAGTATAAATACTTTTTTTAAGTCAGAAGAATACGTAACACTTGCACTAAAGAGAAAAAGAGAGAAAGTAGAAGACTGGGAGGGAATTTACATATTCGTATATATTATATAGAATTAAATCCATATCTGTCTATCATCTACCTTCAGGATTTATCTTTGGTTCTGGGATTATAAGTAATAGTGTGTGTTGTTGTTTTTTTTTAAAGATTTTATTTATTTATTTGACA